TTTAATTCCTTTTTGGATAATTTATATTCATATGGCTGATTAGACCACATTTGTACTTCTTAATTGAATTTGAACACGTACAGCTCCTTGTGGGATTCGACCCCAACTCTTTGTTGGGTTTTATACTGCTTAACGATTGTTTGCACCTAAAATTTGATGAGGTGTGCTTGAAACGTTAATCAAAATGACTCTGCTACCGGCGAACCAAAAAGTTTTAAAAGGCCAAACAGTTTAAACTTTCAAAACCTTTCCTATTCTCTCATTTGGAATGCCGTACACTCTCACCCGTACTTTAGATTTTCCGTACTTCACTTTTTTGTTCGCTTTTTGTGTTGGATTTCATGGTCGGATTCAGATTACTTTGCCGCCTCGCTTTTCAAACTATCAATTTAGCATACAAGTTGTTTTTCAAACCCCACACCTTTGATAAGTGGTTGAACTCAAATGCTTTCGATAATTGTGTGTTGTTGTGTGTTAGATAATTGTTAAAATCATGCTCTATGTGTCGGATTACCCGTTGTTGCTTTACTACTTTTGCCTAATTGCTTAAAAAGATAATTTCTCGTGTTTTGGGTGACTAAATTGATTCTAAGTTATTGGGTTGCGGTTATTTGTATTGGTTTTAGTTGGGTGAAGTCTAAGTAACCCCTAATTATGCCAAATGAAGTAATTTGCCCAATGATGGAGCGTTTGACGTCATTCTTAAGGGCAAAAGTCGTCAAATGGCCAATTTTGGCCAAACAGGGGAAGTTTGAGTACCCCGGAAGCATCAGTCTATTGGGTGTGGAATGAATTGAGTAATGTGAGTGTTTAATTTTGATTTCGGTGGCTGCGGGATTGATTTTTGGAAACGGGGTTGAAAATTGGCACGTCTGGAGGTCCGATGTTGATCACCAATTTATGCAGACGAGCCCGGGTACCACGTGATGAGAAGAAGAACATGATAGTGATTCCGACCTCCTCTACGAACATCTGGCATATTGAGGATGAGTACTGAAGGATGGGGCTAAGAAGAAGAGGGCAGCCTCGGTGGATACATCCCCAGCTATTGATATTGAGACACTACCTATAGAGGCAGTATTGCCTACTCCAGCTAGCGAGCCTTCGGGTACTTCTAGCTTTACCCCTTCAATTACTCCGAGTTATTCTACAATTGTCCTGTCTCATAGGTCTGCTTCTAGTACTGCTGCATCCCGACCTGTATTCACCCAGGACATGCTGCGACAGATGGGGCACCTAGCCCATTCTGCTGATGTGCATGCCTCAAGACTAGAGGCTGCAGTTCCTGGGATGATTGAGAGAGCTCTTACCACTACTTTGACCCCCTCTTAGAGATTTTATTGATGCCCTCACGGCAAGAATATAAGTATGTGAGAGAAGTTAGGGTACCACTAATGAGGTGACGGTCTTAAAGGCTGCAATTTAAGAGTTGAGAAAAGATGTGGACCAGCTTAAGTCAACTGATATGTTGATAATTTTTGGGACCGTGGAGATCCTGATGATCTAGACATAGATATTTTGGCATGTTCTGATGTGCCTCTGGCTACCACCAGAGATGAGGTTAGAGCTGATGATGTGGCTGTGGAGGCCGAGGTTGAGACTGATGAGGAGTAGCTCGGTGTTCAGGAGGAGACCACCTATGAGGGCCTGACTGAGGTTGAGGAGGGGATGGTACTTCGGCCATTCATACTTCCTTGAGAGAGATTTCCATTGCAGTCTCTACTGGAGCTAATGTTGATGTTGCACTAATCATTGGTACCCAGTCCTAGAGTGTTATCACGGGCATTGATGCCCCAACAGACTGAGCGACTGAGTAGATAGGATCATTTTTACCACCCTCTTTGTTGTTTTATTAATTATCTTTGTTTTAGTTTCATTTGAGAACAACTGCTTTTTTGTGGGTGTAGTGAGGTATTTCCATACCTACCTCTTGTCATTCGGTTTTATTTGTATATATTGGGTTTTGTGAGCTATACTTGTGTTTTGATCTTAATCTTGTGGATGGTTGAGTTTGTGGATCCTTGTTTTGAATGGAAATGGTTTTGACCTATTTTTAAAATTTTGTGCCAACTCTATTGTTTGTGATTGTGGTTGTTCTTGCACAAATTTGAGTATCAGTTATCATCAATACCTATGACTTGAATTGTGATCATAATTGAACGAAATGAATGTGCAGCTACGATGAGGCCAAATGAAGTTGCATAGACAATGTGTGAACTTTTAGCATCTCTTTGTTACTAGCCAGTTATCGAATGAGTCACTTGTTATGAACATTGCTCACTAGCTAGAAAGTCTGGAGTCTTGTTTGATATCGGTGCCAATTCTTTGTGTGATGAGCTTACCTTGAACATTGTGTGTGATGACACCTAGAATTTGCCCCGTTGGTTCAGTTGACTAAGTGATGCAAGCACTTGAATTGATCTTAGGCAAAAAAAATTGAAGAGTGAAACAATTTGACAATATACCTCTTTTGTGGTCAACCTCGTGAGATGTGTGAACCTTGCTTGAACCCTCTAGAGCCTTATCCTTTTCTTAGAACAAACTTGAACAATTGTGATCCCTCTTTATGCATTTACCCATAACTTTTATGAAGTGTTGTTTGTTTAAATAGTCAACTTAGGCCAAAAGCCTTATTTGGGGGTGTTGTGAAAAGAGAAGGAAAATGAAGAAGTGTGAGAAATCCCACTTTGAGAAAGGTGTTGAAAAAAAAAAAGATAGAACTCCTCCATGTAAAAAAAAGATAAAAGAAAAGAGAAAAGAAGCAAAGGAAATGAATGAAAAGGTTGTGAAATAAAGTGATAAAAAAACCCAAAAGAAATGGGGTGTCCTGTAATTCATATGAAGTTGAATAATGGGGTGGATTATGCGCATGTTTGAAATGTTAAATTAAAGGAAGAAAGTGATGTTCATGCCACACTTCATGATAGTAGCAACCACTGAGCCTAAATGACCATACATTTACACTCAGCCCCGTTACATGCCGTAAAACGACCTTTGTGATCTTGAGTGAGATGAAACAAATGTTGATTGGAAAATAAGGGAAAACCTATGGGTGAAATCATGCATGTGTTCATCTTTGTGAGTGAAAGAGTTGTATGTGATTCCAAAATTTTGAACTGTTGAGAAATTGTATGTGAATATGGAATCATTTTTTTTGTGAGGGCATCTGAGTACCTTTGTTAAGCTTGAACTTGCATTTGAAGTAAGTATTGTGAACTCACGCATCTTTGATTATGGTGAGTCATAGTTTGAATCTTTGAGTGGACAATTGATCATTGCATGAGTAAGCTGAGCCTTATTGTGTGCATTCATGTTGAGTCTTATGCAGCACCATCTGAGACATCCTTTTTGAACTATTGAGCTTGAGTTTTACTTGAGGACAAGCAAAATTTTAAGTTGGAGGTGTTGATGAGTCCTGGATTTGGACTCATTTGGGGCTTTGTTTATATAGATTTAGTGTCCGTAAATGCTTGATTTGTGTCATAAACTGATGCTAAAACCTTGCTTTTCAGGTATATGAATTGAGGAGCAAAGAAAGGACATTAACAGGCAAAAAGGAACAAAACAAGCTAACGAAATAAAGAATGGTGAGCTTGAGGATCGCGAAGAGCACTTGCCGTGTCACCGAGTGGCTAATCTAACCGTCTAAAGTTCCAGTGTGCCAAGCCTTCAAGGAAGAAACCAAGTCAGCGACGAAAAGGAGAAGTCAGCGAATCGCCGAGCAGTTCCACACTGCAAAGAGATATCGCCCAAAGTTACAAAATTTGAGGATGTTGAGTGACAAGGCAAAAAAGCGATGAAAGAGATCATTGGGCGGCTCGCCGAGTGGTTCGGCGAGCCCGACTTACTCCACCAAATGGCCCTTCGTGGCTTTATTTTTTAAACCTATAAATTAGATTTTAAATATTTTATTATGGAGAGTTTTTGGAGTTCTGAAGTTTTGAGACAAGACTGAATTAGTTTAGAAAACTTTTCCACGTAGTTTTTCATCGACATGAAGAATTTTGGAGATTCTATTTGGAGATTTTGGACGTGGGTTTGAATATTCTGCAAATTGATCATTGTAAAGACTAAATTTCTCTTACGCAGTTGGTGGTTAATCGATTCGGTAATCATTTTTACTTTTTTATGATGTTTGGGTAAAATCCCAATTCTTGGGATGTGATCATGTGATTATGGGTTGAATTAGTTTATGGTATTGTTAATTACTAGTTTAAATGCTAAATCGAAGTGAGTTTAATCATTAATTGAGGTTAAATTTATGAATTGTAGTTGCAAATGCAGTTTTAATTTTGTGTTCTTGGCTTGCTCGAGAGAGAGGTTTTAGAACTAAGATTATTGATTAATTATCTGTAGGCATTGGGTTGAGCTGCGTTTAGCTCGAAGGAGTGAATCCTAAACCCAATCCTACCTATCCAACTCGAAAGAGTGGGTGAATTAAGGTGTGGGTTGTTCTTCATTGTCATGCTTGTTGTTGTTCGAAAGAAATCACCTAATTCGGGATAGTTGTTCGATAGAAAGCTATCTCCCTTATAGTCTAGCCTACTCACTGATATTTAGATATTTACTAGTAGTTTCAATTACCCATAATTCAGGGGCAATGCTGGAACATAATGTTGGACGATCTCCATTTCCAAAATTTGCCTATAATCGATCACATCCCGAGAATCTATCTCCTTACTGTTATTTCGAATTGTTTGTGACTTCTTTGTAGTAGATAATTGCAAACCAAAACACCCCATCTGGCATTCGTGTTACCCATGTTAATTTGTTTCATGCCTTTTTCAATAATTTCTATTCCTATGGATGATTAGATCACATTCGTACTTCTTAATAGAATTTGAACACGTACCGCTTCCTGTGGGATTCAACCCCAACTCTTCGTTGGGTTTTAAACTGCTTATCGATTGCTTCCACCTAAAATTGGATGAGGTGTGCTAGAAACGTTAATCAATGATGCTCTATGGGCGCATCACACTGCATTTAAGAATCCTATAGGTATGTCGCCCTACCAACTTGTTTATGGGAAGTCATATCATTTGCATGCAGATCTAGAGCATAAAGCAATATGGGCGCTGAAGAAGTTGAATTTGGATTGGGGTGTCGCATCGAGTCAAAGACTGAATGACATGGATGAGCTTGATGAGTTTCACCTAAAAGCATATAAAAGATCAGCCTTGTACAAGGAGAAGATAAAGAAGTACCATGATCAGAAGATTGAAAAGCGTGAATTTGTTGCCGGTGATCTGGTGCTCTTATTCAAGTCAAGGTTGCGCTTCTATCCTGGCAAGCTCAAGTCCAAGTGGACCATTCCATTCAGAGTAACTCAAGTATTACTATAGGGAGCGGTTGAGCTCGAGAACAAGGAAGGGGTGAGGTTCAAGGTGAACGGATAAAGGACAAAAGTCTACTTGGGGAAATCTAAGAGTGTACATGAAGTGATAGAGGCTTGTTATCTTGATGAAGTCTGAGTAATCAAAGTGTGTGTGTCGTGTTGTGACGTTAAATCAAGCGCTGCTTGGGATGCAGTCCAAGATGTACAATCTAGCCAATTATAGAAGATTCTTTTCGATATAGGAGTTTTTCTTCTATCTTTTTTATTTTGTATCTCTTTAGAAAGGTATTTATTAATTTTTATGTTTAGTGTTCGCTAGATATAGAATAGGGTCCGTGTCTAAAAAGTGTCCAGAAAATGTAAAAAGGAAGGCCTAATATTTGCTTCATGTGCAGGGACAAAAAGGCAAAATCTACAAAAATTAAGTTGTTGCAGTGGTCTACGGATCTCATCGACAGTTCGTCGGTCAATCCAGGGACCGTGGAGGTATCCGTAGACCCCATGTATGTTGTTGCATATTTTGGAAGTGTTAAATTGAGCTATGGACCCCATCGACGGATCGTACACGAACCGTCAACGGGGTCTCATGGGTCCAAGTTAGGGCTTCTGCTGACCCGACCCAGACCCCCAAATTAATATAACCCTTCATTTTTAAATCATTTCCCACATTCATCCTTTCCCACCTACCGTTACAAACTGATCATTTACCCCAATTTCACCCATTAAACGCCCCCATTACATCCATAATTCCCTCCCCTTCCATTTCTAATAACTCTCGAATCCCATATCTTCAATTTTCTCTTCAAATCCTCCATTTCCATCAAAGACTAAAGTTCATGGTTCGATGTTAGAATTGGTCTAAGGAGCTTGTACTAGATTCACACACTCACCAACTTTGATTTCTTGAAAGCTAAATGATTTAACCATAAACCTTTGAATTTCTTGTTCATTGTTTAAATTACTAAATCACAAAGTTGCACTTGACCTTGGGTTGTTAACTTACTTGTTAAAATGTTGATTTTTAGTTGAGAAACACCCTTGGAATGATAATATGTGAGTGTGTAGTTAATTTTAATCAACTAATTAGGGTGATAGGTCTAGTTTGATGTTTTCACTTAGGGTTGTTCAATGTTCGCGTGTTGAATATGGAAAAATTGCACAATCACAACCCTACGGATGATGAACTACCACATTACTTTTTGAAATGCATGTTTAGACTTGAAGTACGTATTGATTGTGTGTTGTATGAAAGTTTGTAATCAAATTACTGGCACACCTATGGTATATGGCCACAACCGATGGACCGTAAATCCACCTAGGACCGTAGATCCATGTCGTCGACTAAATGTACACCAAATTTTCCTAAGTGGTGAACAACGGTGTGCACTACGGTCCGTCATTCCATTGACGGACCGTTCAGCACATCCGTGGTTCCAAATTTAGAGACCCAAAAAATGGGTACTCAGACCTACGGAGGGGAGCCACGGGCAATCGTCCAATGACAAACCGTAGGTATCCACTATGGGTAACCAAACCTGCTATTGTCTGAATTTTTATTTTTTTTGTCTAAGTCCGATTAATGGTCTAAAATTATTTTATGTGTCCTTTTGTGTTCTTTGTGTACTAACTAAGCTACCACATGTACCATAACCCTAAAACAAGCACCGGTGTATGCCAGAAAGGGCAAGTAAAAATCATTTGCCCCATCCCGACGGCTATTAGATGAGGGCAGCAGGGATGAGTATATCCCACCGACCACCAGATTTTCCACCAATGCTCCCCCGATTAAAAGAAATAGAGCATAACAAGTTATTTCTACGAGTGACGAGGTCGAGGTCAACGCCCCCCAGTCTGAGGAGGGGGCCTCACCTGCAAGAGGGTCGCATTTTGGCTCAGAGTCACACTCTGTCTCCCATTCCAGTGGCAGTCCCTCTTCATTCTCTAATGTCGATAGCTCGGTAGACATCTATTTACCACACAGGGTTGAGCCTGACCCTAGTGCACTAAGCCAAACAGATGGTGCATCGAGGGCCAGCACCAAATTTACTCTGATGCCAAGGTGGTTAATGAGCATTAGAAGATGGTCCGCATTATTACTAAGGAGCTCCGGGTTCTTACAGGTAGCCTCCACACCGTGCCCATTATTGAGGAACTATTCAAGAGACACAAGTGTGAGTGGATGGCACGGAGTCCGGGGAAATTTAGTGATGAGATGACCCAAGAGTTTTATTCCTCCTACACCGCCAATGTCTATAACTCAATCTCTAAACGGGCTTAGTCAGCAGCTCAGCCCCCACATCAGGCTACCTTGGTACATTAAGTAACCTTAAAATTGATTAACAAATAAGCAAATAGTAACGATTAAACAAATATACAATAAAGAGAGGGAAATTTTTGGTCCAAGTCTGGTTATTGTCCATTTGGCCAGTACTTGGGCCTAATTATGATTAAATTGGGCTTTCGGACCAACTTCAACCTGTCCTAAAAAAACTAACATAAGAGCTGATTTTCTTTGCGCTTTTGGCCCAACTTCAACCTATCCTAAAACTAACATAAGAGTTGGTTTTCTTTGTGCTTTTGGCCCACCTTCACCCTGTTCTAAAACTAAAATAATAGTTGACTTTCTTTGGGATTTTGGCCCAATTTCAACCTGTCCTAAAACTAAAATAATTGCTGCCAAAACAGATGGGCTTTGGCCCACTTATCACAAAAACACACTGCTGGAATTTATGAGGGTTTTTGGGCCCATTTTCGCTGCTATATACAGTGCATACACCTATTGTATATCACTGTATATTCTGGTATATTAGCTTTCAAACTGGTAAATCTAGTGTATACACCGTGTATACAACCTGTTTTGAACTCCCGGAACAGCTCCATCTCTGTTTTCAACCTCTTTTTCTGTATTTTGACATGTATATCAGTGTATACTGTTGTATACAACATGTATATATCCCATTTTTGGACCTTTGAAACTTGAAATCTACTTCATTTCCCCCTGTTCTTTGATTCTCATTGTTGGCTGACTCAAATAAAGCAAATATTGGGCCTTTGGCCTAACAAGGAGATGCAAAGAGAGGAGAGAAGAGTCCAAAAGAGACTCGGGGCAGATATCACATGCAACATAAAAAGAGACATGTAAGAACCAATTCAAGCTATTGTGAACCAGTGAAACGGAGAATTACCTACAATTTATGCCACTACTAATAATCAACACACAAGTTCATATAATCATTTAAAATAGTCAAAAGAAGAAACAGGGAAAGAGTTTTGGAATTTTCTATGAGGAAATGGCTCAAAAATATGAAGGAATAATCATTTTAATATTTAACTAATCATTCAACCTATTCAAGGTATGACCAAATTATACTAGCACTTTCCAACATATTGGACATCAATCAGTGACCAAAAACGAACACTAAACAGACACTATACTCCATTAAAATTGGGAACAAATATACACCATTCGAAAGAAAACGAAGAGACTAAGGTAGACCTCATGGAAGACAAACAGTGACAACATTCACCTGCCACAACCCTGAATATTCTATGAAATTCACATCAACTATTTCATAATTTCTCACTACCGTAAAGAAAGACCAGTTCATCCTAATAGAAGTAACACATAACTAACATTAGACTTGAATGAACAAACTCGTCAATGCTTAAGTTAAAGACACTGATTACAGTTTACAGACATAAAACAAAGGGTTTAAGCTTTCATTAAATGCTCATTCTTCCATGTAAAGCATGCTCATCTTTCACATGCTTGAACTACCACCTGACTCGAGGACTTGTGCATGAAGCATATAAGATGACCATATAGCCTAAATATTTAACGAAAGAGACGCATTCCAAACACTCTAAAGGGAACAAAGATCACAATATCATGCTTTGAAACCGAGAGAAAACAAAACAATGACAAATAAGGACAACACTCACGTATGTAGAAGAAAAACAGAGTTCAGATTTACATATGACATGATATTAGGCTAATATTTGTAGAAATCTGGAACTATGAATCAAAAAGAGAAACAACCAAGACCAAGACTACATAAAAGACAAAACACACAATAAACAATTTGAACTGTACAACTGGTATACTCAACATTGAAACCTAAATGAATATTAGACCATTCCGAAAAGAATAAGACATAAATTTAGCTATCTTTTAGAACAAGATGAAGCCATATCGAAACCAAGAAACTAATCCAAAAGGATTACACCATTTCACATACAACAGCTCATCATTCTCGATTCAAAATAAGTGCAGGAAAGGAGAAAGAGTAAAGAAAAATGCACCTCTTTCGGAGCAGCAAACCAGGACGAGCAAGTTGGAGCAAACTATATCACCACCACAGGAGAGTTTCAAGAATTCTGACGAATCCCAGCAACATCGAACAATAAGGAAGAATGAAAAACTATTCTAAGTGTATTCGTTGTATTTTTTGTAACTAAGGGAGACTATACTTTGAATATCAATCATTTTCTAAACCTTCTTTTTTTGCCAACTTAACACTGAAGAAGTTGAGAGCTTAAATAGAGGGGAATTATGGTCAAACTTTTTTTTGGAGAAAATGGGATGAAAATTTGATAAGAATTAGGGTATATTGAATTTTGAATTCAAACTTTTTCTCTTTTGGATCAGGAAAAGTTGATCCTTCATCAATTTTCAGCAGCTTCCAATGGAATTTAAGGGATTTGGAGGGTAAGGCAAGCAAAGTAAACGACTAAACCTTCTAGTTAGTTCTCGAGGAAAGATGAAAAAGGGGTGAGGCAGAGCTCTAAGGCGTATTGCTTTGTTCTTGTCATTTTGGGAAGAATAAGGTGACATTGGCATACTGGTCACGTAAACACCATGAAGACACTGTGAATTCGCCATTTGTGAATGTCGGGGTTGAACGAATAATGTTGTTTATTGTTGACGTCGTTGCTTTTTGTGTTCACGTCATTGTGTTGCTCCCTTGGAATGTCGTTGCTTCTGATGAACGTTAGAAGTCTGTGAAT